CGAAGAACGAAAACTCAAATGATGAGGGCAACCAAGCAAATGGTGTAGCAGATCCAATTCCTTCAACCTCGCAAACTTATAAACGACCTGTTTGTCAAAACATGAATGATATTCAAAATAGTGGACCAAGCTGCTCGGGGTTACTCGTCAGTCCAAAAGACATCGTTCTGATTCCAAAATTTAAAACGGAAATGCAGAAAAATAATAGGAAAAGAGGTTCTACCGCAATATTCACAGACAGTCTTCATAAGAATGAGCTGGAAATAGCAAAGGAATCTAAAACACCAGAAGCAGTTAAAAGGCAATTTTTTGTCTCTACTACTCAAGCATTTTCTCAAAATCCAAAAAAGGGGAGGGCTGGATATGCTGCTCAGTGTGCAAAAGATGGTCACATGAAGAATGTGGTGGATGAGATGAAGACGACGATGTGTTTACATGTGAACTATGTCCTTAAGCTCAATTATATGCGTAATAAATGATAAAGTACTGTTTTATCAGATGTGAGATTATTTAGAATACTTTTATCATGGTCACTTTGTCCCAAAATATGGGTGACCACTTTGCCCCGCTGTGTGGGATAAAGTGGCCGTCTGCCAATATTTTGCAAAATATTTTGTAATAATAAAAAAAATTAAATTAGAGCCTTAATTTTTTTACTATGACTCTAATAATGTTTGAGCTACAATGCGTACTTAATTTCATAATCATATTGATCTGTATTTCAAATCACGGGACTTTTGAACCTTAGAGTGGCCAATATACCCACATCTCCCCTATTTACCAAAAATATCGTTTTATTATTAAAAATCGAAAAAACTGTACGACTGTAACTTTTAGGTATAGGTAATGCTTAACAAAAATAAAAGTATTTTGTAAGTAGTTTATGATATATGATATTTGAAATAACCGAGAAAATCATGGTCGTGAGTTTTGGGTTACCCTGTATACAAAATGAAAGCTACTGCAACAAAACTAGACTACTATGACTTTATTCTGGCCTTGAGACATTTACCTTCAATTGTTGATTCTAAATAATAAAGGGTGACGAATTCATTAAGATTTTCACATAAAAGTGGCAATTTCTTTAAAAGGACCCTGTAGAACCTGATAAAACCCGATATTGCCGGAATGGGGAAAATGAGCAAAATTCAAATTCGAGATAACATAACTTTGGTATGCTGTGACTTTATGAAACACCCCGTATATTACGAAATAATTTTAAAACGTTGAGCTGGACTCTATAATTTGTATTTAAAACTTTTATTCGTATCCCTCAAAACAACGGAGTTAACAAACTCCGGAGTATAAGTTGATACATTATATTTCCCAAATATGACAATAAACACCAAATTTTCAAATATCTTAATTTTAAATTCTCAAACCTTTTATATATTTAAATTGTTGACTTCTTTTATCTTTGATACAATTTCTTGTACAATTTAAATTGTGTAAATTTACATATTTCTTCTTTCCTTTGTTTCTTCACTATTTAATTAAATAATTTCTTATTTTATCTTAATTCTATTTTTTATATATATATATATATATTTTTTATATATATATATATATATATATATATATATATATATATATATATATATATATATATATATATATATATATATATATATATATATTCTCTATTCTATCTGTCATATCTATTCTTATATTTTTCTTTGTGATTTAATCAACTGTAGAGAGTTTTAAACATTAAATGATTATAAATCTGGACCAACTTTCATTATATAAAAATAACATTTACAAACACTTAACTGATATCAAAAAATTCAACTTCAAACTTTGTTTTGTTAGCATAACTACGACAGCAGGTGGAAGATAAATTATTTTGAATATTATCAATACTTCAATTTTCTTATATAGATCTATTTTCAACTTTTCATTATTTCTTAGTTATTTTGTTTCCTTTTTTCTGCCATTCTCTTACTGTCTTTTTCCATTTTCTTCTCAATTTTCTTCTTCTTTTCATTTATATTATCAATATTCTTCATCAATTATCTTCCTTTCTATTTTCATCCATTTTAAGGAAGAACATCTTTATAACCCAAATTTTGTTTCTGTTTACTATTACAAATAAGGTAAATTCCATAAAATTCTTTATTACCGCTTCAATTCTTCAATAATTAGATGGACATTTTTTAAATCTATTTCATCCAAAGTTAAAAACTATGCTTACCTTCTGGCACACCAGCGAGTTTAGCACATCGAGTCCCATCAAAAAGTTGAGTGAACTTTGTTAGGAAATATCCAAATGTTCATCAATTTTCAGATCCCTTCAAGCTAATTACTAATTCACGGAACAATAGATCAAATACGTGATAAAATTTGGTGTCTTAATATTTGGACCCATCATGAGGCGGTTAGTATTAATTATGAAAAGCCCCTGACATAATGCGAATGGTGATGATCATAAATAACATCGTCGTTAACAGATAACACATCGCCAAATTTGCAGGGCCGGACTAAACTATACCGACAGTACCTGCATTAACTACTCGTATTAGATACATGTCCATTGGGCATATTGCTTTTATCCCAGCAAAAAATAGTTAAATAGCTGGTAGGTACTGAAAATTATTTTTCTACAAGTATGCTTGAAAAATATCTATGACATCTTCATCCCTTCCCACTTCCCTGAACGAGAGGCTGGGATATAAGATATATCAAGTATCAAGATAGACAAATCAAAGAAAGAAGACTCTAAATAGGGTTTAGGTTGAGGAAAGTAACAATGAAGAACAGAAACTTCTACAATAACATTGAAGGTAACAAAAAACACATTTTAACAACTAGACAACAGACAAGTAGACAAAAATTCAAAATCAAAATCAAGCATGTTCGAAACTAGTAGCTACCTTAATTTTTCAATAAATTACTGTGATCAAAACTTTGAGACTCTTTGTTGTATTTTGTTTACTGAAAATCATATTTATAAGAAAATGACGTAGGAATAATATTACTTGTGTGTTCATGGATCCTTCACGATCACTTTAGAGATTTCTGCAATTTTCTAGCTGTACTTTTATTCTCCTTTTCTACTTCCATGATAGTAGTGTTATATGTAAAGGCTACTGTAGTATTATTTTATAGTACTAGAATATTATTGGTGTATACAGGACAAATCACGATATTTTTAAATATATACCCAGATAGCACACGACATGTAAAAGACGTCTTTTTTGTGTCTTGGTTTGGTCTCAATGTCCTAGGGCGTTATTAGGACGTCTTATGTCTGGCAAAAGCCATAATTCAGACATATACTTCATAAAATATAAAAACCAATGCACGTTATCAGTGACGTAATAAATTTTAGACCATCACAGCTCCACACCATTGCCAACCAATAAGAAATACCAGTCAGTAGTATATTCTATGTATAAGCATAATTCTATTAAGAACATCAGTTAAGTAAGGTTTTTAAAAAATAATATCAAAATTTGCTTTATGGGATTATATTAATATAGCATTATTATAATGTTGCAGTTATTTTAACTACCTGAACAATATTTGGGTATCAACAAATGAATACATAAATATTTTTTAAAACATAACGACTTTTATTTTACAGTTTGTTAGTTACATAACAAATAACAAAGTAAATATTAAATAAATAATAAAAGGTAAACTAAAGAATACAATCATTATTACAGTACAGTATTGCAATCGATTATATTATTAGTGTGTAATTCACTCAATAACTGCAAATCATCACCATAATTGTAACAATGTCTCTTGAGATAGAAGATCAGCCATGTAAATTTTTGGTGGTTTATTTAAAAAAAAGCAGTTGAGAAAATAAAGATGAAACAATAAGATGCAATAAGATTCAGAAGTTCCACTTTAACCATAGCAAATGAAAATCTCTTGTAATTTAATCTTTGTTTTATGTAACAATGTACCGTGATATGAAGCATTGTCCATTTGATTAAGAATGGTTCATTAAGTTTTTTCAGTAACTGTTCTTCATACCATTTAAAAAAATTCTCATTATTCATTTCACCATGATAATCACTCAGCTTACTTTGTTACGCAAATATAGCCTTAGCTCCTTCAATGAATCATTTCCAGCATTGAGTATAATGTACCTATAAATAAAAATTACAACTGAAGCATGTAGCTATATTCTAGTACTTATTTACGTACCTTTTACCATCAACTTTTGTGGTGTTCACATTTCTTTTATTTTTATCTTGCCAAGAACTGTTTATAGTCCCATTTTGAAAAATCCACGTCTCATCAATAAAAACAAACTGAAATAAACCTTTTCTTTCTTGTAATTTCTTAAAAATACAGCCCGTTTTACATCAACATCGGAAAGTTTCATAAGCTCTCGCCTTGGATCATCTTTTTTTCTATTTAAAACCAATATCTTTTAATAAGATGCATAATGACATGCGGCATCCTTTAAACAATTCTTTTTCTTTCAATTTTTCTAATAAAGAATCTAAAGTTACATGTCATTCGGCAAACAAATATATAGGTTTATAATTAGGTGATATAAAATAAATAATATACACTTACTAGCTTCATACATATTGTAAATAACATTCCGAATTGTACTTGTATCTACAGTTCTTGTATTAATTACTGTCTTTGTACGAAGACGCTTTTTTGGAGGCGATTTCAAAACGACATCATTCTTAGCTGCTTGAGAAATATCACTTACAGTAGACAAATTTAAGTTAAGTGCTGCCGATACACGCTAATGAGATTAGTTTGATGTTTCTAGACAATATCAGTTAAAACTTACGTCTCCAACAGCAGTTACAGGTAGTAAAGGACCATTGTTCGAAACGTTCTTGTTCAAAATACTATATCAATAGAGCTATGAGCTCCTTACATCGGCTATGTGATTTCTTTGGCATTTTTAAACCTGCGGGGAAGACAATATGGTTATTCTTAAAAGAACAGTTTTTTATAACTAAAAATAATGACCAAATAACCAAAAATAATAACGAAACGACCAAAAATAACGAAATAACCAAAAATAACTTCAGTTGGTGGTTTTCTGGATTGGGTACCATTATCACCTCTGTCACTTTCCATATCTTTCAATCTGAAGGCAATAATAAGATATGGTAGTTTAAATATGGCTTTTATAGAGATCTGTTTAAGATAAAATCCTGATGTGTTTTTTGGGTTAAAATTTTCTTTTATTTCGATGGCTACTTTTGGAGTTTTGCGTCTAAATTCATCATGTTCGTGAATAACGAAAAACATTTTTTTGAATCTAAATTTACTAATATGTTGATTCATTAAACTAAATTAATTCCCACTCAGTTTATTATACACTGTGGCTCAACTTAAAAGAATAAACATTTTAAATATGAATAACTTCATTCCATTTATACAGATTTCATTCAATTTTAGAGGAACTATTTGCCAATCTATTTTGTAAAATCAGTTATAAAAATCCGTTTTGTATTACTGGTATCTATATAATACTTATTATGGAATAGACAAAAGGGAGAAAACATTGAAAGTGTAAAGGAACCTTGTAGAAAATTCTGTTTATGACACTCCTAGACACAGCTGTTGCTGCTATTTAGGTTTTCAAGCATTCAGTCCAGTGCGGTCCTGTGTCGTAGTACTCACATAAATACTGCACTCTTTAATTTTAATTTCCTGCAGCCCGGTGGTGGTTTTTTCTCCGATGGCAGTGCAGACATGAGAAATCGGTTATCTCGACGTATCTGGCCATTTTATCGAGAGACAGCAGTCTAACGGAAAAGTTAATTTGCTGTAGATTATTCTTTCGTTTTTTAAGGAAGTATTGCGAATAACTTTAAGGGACCGGTAATCGATTAATTTTTTTATAATGAAATTTATGACTCTGAGATTTTTCAAGGAATTGGGTTTGGCAATTTTCTGCGCCGCGGCATATTTCTTTCGGGCAGATCGGGGCAGACTTTTGAAACAAAAAGAGATATAATAACGATGTAAAAATTAAATTTAGATATTGCAGATAATATTGTAATATGCAGATACAGTACCGACTTCCTATTTCCAAAGGGATTTGGTTGTTGACCTGTTGACTTCCTGATTATTTTTTAAGGAACGCCCTTCATTATAAAAGCTAATAAAAAAGTTTAATTGCTTTTTAATATCATGAAAACCTGGTTCGCTAAGTTCAACGACCATTTTATTAGACGTCAGCTTAAAAATATGCGACTTATTTTTTCGATAGGGAAATTTATCATTTTTCTTCTTTTTTTTGTGTTCTAGCGTCTTCTCCATCAATAAAGGTTCATAACAACCTTGACAACATCTTTGTCAATCTTGCATCATTCCAATTAGTCGGGCTCAGTCGATCTCGGATATTTATTTATTTAGTTTTAACGAGTTGTATTTTTTACTTTTCTGTATACAGATAAGGAAAGTATAGAAATCAAGATTTTTTCGACCTCTAAGTTTTCGACGTATTTTTACGTTTTGGGGTCCCCTGATTCCGTTTTTAATATTTTCGCGATGATGTCTATGTGTTTGTGGTGTGTGTATTGTGTATGTTTGTGTGTCTGTATCCACGATAACTTATGAACGGATATAAAGAAAAGCACAAAAATTTAAAATTAAGCTTTATTCCGGCCTGCGATGAACTGATTAGATTTTGGGCAGAGTCGGAACATCTGGCGGGGTACTTTATAGAGGGTAATTTTTAACTAAAAGGTACTTCTAATATTATTCTCTATAATTTTTGTTTTATACAAAATTTTCCTAAAATGGTCCGTATTCGAGAAATTTTTATGAAAATTGTTCAAATAAAAGTTGTTTACGATATAATTCTCTATAATTTTTGTTTCATACATAATTTCTCTAAAATGGACCGTACTCAAGATATTTATGAAAAATTGTAAATTTTGAATTTTGGAAACTCAGAAACGGATAAAGAAAAAATCTTAAATTTTAAACTTATGCTTTATTTTGATCTAAGTTGAACTGATTAGATTTTAAGCAGAGTCGGAATATCTGGGGGTTACTTTATAGGGGGTCATTTTTATTAACCAACTTCCAAAAAATATTACGACGAATTCAGAACCTCCTCCTTTTTTGAAGTCTGTTAAAAAGGAGGATGTTCTCAAATCGTCGGTATATTTTATTTTATGTATGTTCAGCGATAATTCTTTAACACGGTGTCCGATTTCAGTGATTCTTTTTTGTTAGAAAAGAAGTACTTCAGGGGTGGTCCTATATAATTTTGGTCAAAATCTAATAATTGGGTCCATGAAAAATTCTCAAACTCGTCATTTTTTATGTATGTTTAGCGATAATTCTTTACCACCTTGTCCGATTCTTTTTTTGGCAGTAACGGGGTACCTCAGGGATGTTCCCACATAAATTTGGTTAAGATATGGTGATGGCATCTGCACGATTTTGAAGTCGATTTTTTTAAATTTTTAATTACTTGTATTTTATGAAATATGTATGTTATTTTCGTTTGTAGAAGAAAATTCTTTAAATAAAAGTTATTTCCAATATTATTCTCTACACAAAATTTTCCTAAAATGGTCCGTATTTAAGAAATTTTACAAAATGTAAAAAATTCTGATTTTTAAGAAAATTGTTAAACGATATCGATCTCTATAATTTTTGTTTTTCACATGATTTATCTAAATTGGACCGTAATGGAAAAATTGGAGAAAAAGTATAAAATTCAAATTTTTCAGTATTTTAGTTGGCAATAAATGTATACATATAGAAAATTTTTTGAGTTAGATGTATGTGGGAAATTATATATTAAGTTAATCTCTAACCATTTACAGAGGTGCTACAATAGGTTGTACAAAATAATCGAAAAAAGCCTGTAATAACTAGATAGGAAAGTGATGTATTGGACACATCAGATTTTTATATTTAAAGATATAACCAAGATATTTCCTTTCTCTTACTTGTGAGAACATGTTCTGCCTATGATACTCTTATCGTTTTCCTGAAGGTTCATATGTCAAACGGGACTTTATTGTGTGACTTTCAGCGAACTCATTATATTACTTGACAAATCTCTCGTATTTTTGGAAATTCTTGATAATTTTTGATAATTTTTGATAATTTTTGATAATTTTTGATAATTTTTGATAATTTTTGATAATTTTTGATAATTTTTGATAATTTTTGATAATTTTTGATAATTTTTGATAATTTTTGATAATTTTTGATAATTTTTGATAATTTTTGATAATTTTTGATAATTTTTGATAATTTTTGATAATTTTTGATAATTTTTGATAATTTTTGATAATTTTTGATAATTTTTGATAATTTTTGAAAATTTTTGATAATTTTTGATAATTTTTGATAATTTTTGATAATTTTTAATAATTTTTGATAATTTTTGATAATTTTTGATAATTTTTGATAATTTTTGATAATTTTTGATAATTTTTGATAATTTTTGATAATTTTTGATAATTTTTGATAATTTTTGATAATTTTTGATAATTTTTGATAATTTTTGATAATTTTTTTATAATTTTTTGATAATTTTTGATAATTTTCGATAAGTGAAATCATTTCAAATATAACGTGTACTTAATGAAAAGCAGGATATTCAAGTAGAATGTGATCTTCCATTAAAATTTGACAAAGGACATGGGTCCAAGCGTTTGCAAGAAGTAAATGAAACCGAAACGTTATATACGAATCAATTTGGCAACAACGGTAACAACAGTCCAATTTTTAAAGGATTGTCATGACGATATATTTAGGCCATTTATATTCGCGATTCAAGCTAGGAGATATGCCCTCTGTAGGAAATTTGTAGACGGTCCCTATAAGTAGGATATCGTTGTGTTGCCAGAAGTAACAAAATTTCGCTATGTCGTTGGATTTTAGCTTGAAGAAGTGGATAAGACCTTTTATTTAAGAATCAAAATTTGTGTATGGTAATATGTTATCATACTCTATATTTATTTAAGGATTTTTTTATAAAACCGATTTATTATATTGATTTTTTTTATAATTCATTTCATTTACTAATTTTGTTTTAAAATCAGTTCATCATTTGGCAACATTGGCGTTCGTGTTCATTGTTTACATTTTAATTTGTATCAATTACAATTCGAGTTTTTTCTTACTTTTTAGCTTTAAATGTTTATTTCTTATAGTATGTGTGCTTATATTAAAAATGAAATCTGCGAAAAAGTCCTCAGCAAATTGCAATCTATATGGTGTTACTGTCAAAATCAAAATCAAAATCAAAGTATTCATTATTTTCCAAGTGCAAGTCGTAAAATTTTGTTTCTTATGATAAATAGATATCTACAAATTCATAATATTGAAATTTTGCAAAACTTTGTTTAGAATCAAAGTGTAATCTGATTTGTGACGGTTTTATTACCATTTACATGTATACCTACAAAGTATTATACAATTCACTTCATAATATAAGAATTGGGATAGTAAGATTTTTAAATAAGTTTATCAATAATAAACGTTTGGTACCTCAAATGTTTTATAAACCACATAATAAAACATGTCCTGGGTTTAGTAAATACATATTTTTAGATGTTCTTGTATCTAGCAATCAATAGGTGAATATTTCCAACAAAGTAAGTCATTCACATGATAAATATTATATTTATGGCGAAAGCACGAGAAATAAACTTAAATTAACACTAAATGAAACTCAAAAACACTATTACAATGAGAATATTGTCTAAAAACAGTTAAAAAAATCACAAATACAAAATCCGCCGAAAAACAAACACACGTAAATAAACAAACATCCTACTTATAGGTGACAAATGACAGGTGCGCGAAAATTAATTTGAATCTCGAATAGTGTCTCATCTCGGTAATCTTTGCTAAACCATCCTTATCTATCGCTTTGTTTTCTTTCTTATTTTGCTTATCATAAGTCTTGGATATAAATGAACTTGTTGTGGACTGTAATCTTCATTTTTCACATTAAATAAAACACTTAATACGTTTGTGAAACAATATTTATTTCTGCTTTCGCAGCGTGCAGTTACCAAATACCAAATGTTGTAAAAACAAAACTTTTTCTGGAAGTTGCCAAACATAATATCTAGTTTTACACTAAAAAATACATTTTATATAAAAAAGGCAACTACAAACCTAATTAAGTCTCTAGCAAGATTTTTCCTGTGAACTTATTGTATCTATATATTTGAAAGCTTGAAAAATTATTTGTTGAGTAGACGGCGACAGTACAGCTTCTAGCAAAATCCATAAAGCTATCCTAATTATTTCAATAATTATGA